AGGGCGGGAAGGAGAATAGGGCAGGCCACAGGCGTGGGCCAGGGAGGGCCAGGCAACACACTCATCCACGTTCCAGCGCCACAGCACCAGCTGCAAGTCAGGACTGGAGCCCTCTGAAGTTCAGGGTGGGGCGGCAGGAAGGAGAGTGTCCGCTGGGTGTGAATGCCCTGCACAGCCTGGCTGCCTCTCAGAACTGCAGAATCAGGGCGAGGGCGGGAGGGCTGGAAGGGCCTCGGGGTGGTCTGTGAGCTGCTCTGACCCTGGTGGACCATATTATAGGCTCAGACAAACCTGAGTCTCACTTCCAGCTCCACCACTGCAGCTGTGTTATCTTAGCCTAGTAATTTGCCCTCTCTCGGCCTGTTTCCTAACTTAGAAAATGGAGATCCTAATAGTTCCCGCTTCAAAGGATATTGAGGATAAAACAAGAGGCTCTTGGAACAGTGTTTTTCACACACGTGTGGCCTCCAGATCCCCAAGTGCAGCTCCTCAGTGGAATCCAAAGGGCCCAACGGAACTGAAAGGATTTATTCCGTAAGATTTGGATTCATTCAGTCAAAAGGCCATACTCATGGATCAAGAAGGTCACATGTAGCCCCAATGCCATAGGTTCCCCACCCCAGGATGGACTCAAGCCAAGTTCAGCTCAGCACACACTGTGCGCTGTGCGGCAGGCACTCTGACGGCTCAGGACAAAAGAAGTCGCCACTCAGGAAACAGACAAACGCACAGACACTTCCATAGGAAGTTAGATACTGAGGCAGGAGGATGTCCAGGATGCTACGGGGTCATAGACAGAAGTCTGTGTAGCTGGCCCAACCGGAAGATTCTGGAAGGACAGTTAGCTAAGTCTCAAAGGGGGAGAGTGGCCCAGAAGAAGAAGGTGAGCAGATGCCGCGCTCTGAGCTGAAGAAATGGCATGTGCAAAGGGCCCAGTTCTGAAAGGAGAGCCTCGCCTGCGAGCGGCGTGCCTGAGCAGCGTGCTCCTTCCTCCTGCCTGCTGCAGGAGGGCACGGGAGCCGCGGAGGGACCAAGGCCCTCTCGCCGTCCAGTGAGCCTTTCTGCGACTGGAGGCAGGGCGGGGACACAGGGGACGCGGCTGCACTGGTGAACGAAGGGGATGCAGTCCTGCTCTCCAGGGCTGCGCGTCCGAGAGGCGCTCGCTGTGCTGTCTGGGGCAGGAGGGCAGCCCCGCTCCCCCACAACGGCAGCCGGGCCATCACCCACCCAGGAGACCATCCGGGCTGACAGAGCATCGGAGCAATCGCTGGCGGCCTGGCTGGGGGCCCACTGGGGTACCCAGGTGGACTCTGGGGGAAGCCCCCGCCTGCTGCCCTGTCTGGCCAGGAGAGTTTTCCCAGTCTGCTTGGGTGCGGCTGGCCCTCCTGGCAGGCCATGACCAGCCAGTCAAACGAGCTCGATGCTGTAGAATGTCTGGGCACAGGGCAGAGAGGGGACAAGCAACTCCACAGTGGACAGAAGCCCTAGGACCCCAGTGCCAGGCGACCCTCCAGCTGATGGCCAGCTGATGTCTTGTGGGAAGGACAGTCAGGTGGTCGCCCGTAGCCATATGTCCTAGCCCAGACGTCCACGGCCTGCATGGGAGCACTTCTTAGAGACAGCTGCAGGCTTGCATGGTGGGTCTGCACCTTTCGGTGCAGGGTGAGGAGAAACAGGGTGAGGTAGAGCTGGGAGTTCTACCTCCCAGCTGGAGCCAAGACACACTTCTCAAGCCCACTCTCATCCTTCTTTGCCCTCACTCACTGGGAACTCTGGGTCAGCCTCTCGAGCTCTCTGGCCTCAGTTTCCTTTTCTGGCCTCAGTTTCCTTCTCTGTCAATGCAGGACTGAACTGCGTGACGTCTCCGGCCCCACCTCTCCACACGAGACCCCCTTGCCCTGGGCACAGAGCTGGGGAAAGTCCTCGGATCTCCCCTGCACACAGAGAAAGGGCGGTGCCCCACGTTGCCCAGCCCGGTGCGGACAGTCTGCAGGGCTGTGCCAGGCAGGGCAGGCCAGGAAGGAGCCCCAGCTGCCTGCCCAGATCTGGCTGGTGAGAATAGACTGTAAAGAGCCAACAGTCGCTGCGACTGTGGAGTCCCAACGCGAAGGACACTTCCCATTCGCCGTCCGCTCCCACGGAGCCAGCTGGGCGCTAGAGTCCCGCCGCCTCCCGCAGCCCGGTCTGCGGGTCCACGCAGGCCTCCCAGGCCTCGGTCCCCCAGCAGCTAAGGCAGCCTTTCCCTGACTGACAGCAAGCACAACACCAAAGCACTCAACTATTTTTATCTCCAGATTAATCACAAAGAGGCTAATGCTTCCGCCTTCTTTGTGATTAAAAATTAGGAGAACAAACTCTGTGGCTTTTGGGAGAATACCCAGTCCTGTGGGCGTGTGAATAATGCATCTCCACCACCCAGCCCAGGCTGCAGGGGCGGGAACAGCCCCTTCCTGCTGGCCACAGCCACCCAGCACTAGATTGCTATTCAGCCTTGGGCCCCCATCTCCCCCATCTCCCCCTGCTCACCCCCAAGCCCAGCCCCACCCACACCATTCCCACTCCCTCCTCCACATCTGCCCACTCTCCAAGTCCACGTGCCACAAACACAGCACACACAGGAGGAACAAGAAGGAAGGGCTGGGCCTCATGGTATTGATTTTCGGAAAGGCCTTCCCAGCCTCTGCACCGCGATCTGGGCACACCTGCGCAAAGAGCCCAGAGTCAGCTGGTTCTCAAACTCAGCCATGCATTGGGACCCCTGGAGAGCGTTAAAAGGCCCCACGCCTGGGCCCACCTCCAGACAGTGAAATTTAGTTGGTCGGGTGCGGCCTGGCCACAGGACTTTGAAAACCTCCACGGAAGAGTCTGATGCACAGTCGAGGTTGGGACCCTGTCTCAGAGTCCACAGTGCCAGCACTGGGGGCTTTCCAGACCCTGTGTGCTTCCACACTTCATCCTGAGGGGACGAACACAGAAGTGGCCATCTTCCTTCTGCGTCCTCTGCTCTAGGGACTTGCCAAGGTCCCACGCCACACGGCCCATCACAGGGGAGGCTGAGGCAGGACGGGCCAGGCATTCAGTCTCCCGGGGCCCGCACAAGCTCAGGAGCCGGAACACCTCCGTCCTGGGCATCCAGCTGGGCGAAGCTGCCCCACAGAAGGAAGGGGCTCCTGCCTTCCGCAGGGTGAAGCTGTCCTCCTCTCTCCCAGCCCAGGAAGGCCCCGCCACTGCGGGGCATAAAACTGCCTGCAGCCCAGCTGGCCCTCGTAGCCCCTCTGTGCGATCCAGCCATGCCACACCAAGGGGCCAAAGGGCACTAATGACAGGGTGTGGGAAGGGGCCGTCTTCATTGTCCAGCCCATACACACTGCTTCCTCCAGCCTGGCAGTGCCAGGGCACCCTGCCAAGCCCTGGGCAGAGAGCAGACGGCCAGGCAGGGCTGCACGAGGCCGCCTCTCCCTGGGCCCGGACTCTGGGAGAGTCCAGGACTGCTGCCGCTGGGGTCAGTGACAGCTTCCCACAAGCCCTGGGTGAGAGGGGGGCACAGGACCACTAGTCTGAAGGTTGGCTACCTCGGTACTTCCCTGGCCCCGGGGGGCGCTCCTGCCCTCCTGGAGCTGGCGGAGAAGCCCGAATGGACTGGGAGAGGGGCTGATGGGGAGGTTCCCTGGGATGCGGAGAGAAACCAGGCAGGTCGGGGAGCCGCCCTGCGGGCTGAGCTTGGAAGGCAGAGTTTGCTCTGTCAGGACCACCGGAGCCGAATCTCTAGCTCTGAGCTTCCGCAGTCCACGAGCCTTGAGCACAGAAGCCTGAGCCCAGGGCCTGGGTGGAAGGCTCTGCTTCCTCTGGCAAGCAAGCAAAGAAGATGCTTTGCCAGGTCCCCAGACCCCAGGCACCCAGCTGTCCCTCCACCGTTTGCTGAGCACATACATAGCTCAGGCTTCCGGTGTGTCCTGGGCCAGAGCCCCTCTCAGCCTTCAGAGCTGGGTGACACAGCCCCCCAGGGAAAGAGAAGCAGGTGGTCTCCAGGGAGCCCTGCCCCTTCTGTGGCTTGCCCAAGGAGCAGCAGAGGCCTGAGCCCTCGCCGTGTCTAAGAGCATGAGCACCAGCAGAGGCTGTGTGTCCCTAGACAAGTCACTCCACCTCTCTGGGCATCGTCCCCAAACAGTGACTGCCACCATCCTAACTGCCAGTCCTACAGCCCATGGTCACTTTGGGGATCAAAAGGGTGGCTCCATTGGAGCCAGCAGACATCTGTGGAGCTTCCAGCAGGCACAGGGCTGGGCACTGTGGTGGCCATGCCCCACTGTGGACACCCCTCGCCTCCAGCCGCCGACCACACCACACCACACAGCACAGCGTGAGACGGGCGGGAAGCCTTGCCTGACTCCGGGATGAGGCGCTGGAGGGCTCCGGAAATGCCGGGGGTGCACAGCCCTCTGAAGTGCAGTCTCCACCATAAACAGCCACCCCGTCACCTGCCCCTGCCCGGGAGGGGCTGGCCTGGCACTCCAGTCAGGGGCCAGGCTCTGCCACTCGTTCTCCACGTGACCTTGAGCAAGTCACTTAATCCTGCTGGGCCTCAGTTTCCAGATCTGTGCAATTGGGATAATAATAATAATGTTTGCTCTGAAAGATTGCTGCGAGGATTATACCAGACAACAGATGTGACAGTGCTTTGTTTAAAGAAGAGAAGTTTAAGAGAAAGCACGGGCACTGTCTATCTGAGCGCCGAGCTCAGAGGCCGGTGACGCCAGCCCGGCCCTTGTGCCCACCGAGCAGGAACTCGGTTGTGAACAGGACCTTCCTCCACAGGAAGCAGGCGGTGCCCACGTCAGGGATCGCTGCTGCTGTGCTGTCACTGTTTGTTCCAATACTAGGGATTACTCATTTTAGTGAAGTATGATAATCACTGTTTGTCGTCTTCCCAGCCCAGCCCACCATCCCTGCCTGGGAGCCGGGTGGGGCCTCTGCCTGACCTCTCTGCTCCTGTCTTGCAGTGCCGCCCGATGACCCCATCATCCTGGGGGGGCCAGTGATCAGCCTGCGGGCAGGGGACCCCCTCAACCTCACCTGCCATGCAGACAACGCCAAGCCTGCGGCCTCCATCATCTGGCTGCGAAAGGGAGAAGTCATCAACGGAGCCACCTACTCCAAGGTGAGGCCTGCCAGCCGGCGGGGAGGAAGCCAGCACTCCTTGCCTCTGCCTGTGTCTGTCACTTTGCTTCTCTGCATCTTCTCCCTCTCCCACATGCTGCGGCTGTCCTCCTCCTCTGTGTGTCCACCCTTTGACCTTTTCTGCCTCTCTGCCCAGTTCTCCCCAAGGTTGGAATGTTGTGTCCTCCAAAATCCCTAAGGTGGAACCCTACCCTACAAAGTCACAGGGGTGGAGTCCTCTTGGATGGGAGCAGTCCCCTTATGGAAGAGGCCGAGAGAGACCTTTCCACGGGTGAGGACACAGTGTGCCAGGTGCCGGGTCTTCACCAGACACCAAATCTGCCTTGATCTTGTACTTCTCAGCCTCCAGCATGTTGAGAAATAAATTTCTGTGGTTTCTAAGCCACCCAATTTATGGTATTTTGTTATAGTAGTCCAAGTGGGCTCAGATGCCTAGTTAAGTTTGAATTTCAGAAAAACAGTAAATATAATTACCTATTAGTATAAATATGCTCCAAATATTGCATGGGACATACTTTTGGGCCATACTTATACTAAAAACTTATTCATTGTTTATCTGAAATTCAAGTTGAACTGGCCCTACTTTATTTTTATTAATATTCGCTAAATGCAGCACCCTGTAAGGACTACCAGGGAAGGCTGTTTGTTCTATGCTGTCCAAGGTGCCTGGCTCAGAGGCCAGGGAGGGCTGAAATCCAGCCCAGAATCCCGTACCCGGCCCTGTCCCTGCTGTGCCTACCAACAGCAGTGCTTTTCTCTTCCTGGAAGTGCCCTGGACTGGCCCCAATATTAATCATGTTTTTTTATTTTCTGTATTTTACGATGCTTTAACATCTTGAGGCCTTGTAGACTCAGGGAGGGACCAGAGCTAGCTAATTCCTAGAGACAGCAAACACCTTGCCTGCAAGCATGCTGCTGATATGCAGACCAACACATCCAAGCCCCCACAGCCTCCTTTTATCAGGCTCCTCCGGGTGTCATCCTCGTGTGGCCCTATGTGACGTGGCATGTCCCCGCCTTTTGGGAACTGTGAGCAGCAAATTCTTCCCTATGGCAGTTGCTCCTCACCTGTCAGCCTCACCATACCTGAATAAAAACAAAACCCTGAGCGCATTTTGAAACAGCCCACACCAAAATCTACTCCAGGAGATTGTGCATAGAGTCCCAGATGGGGTTTACATACCGCAGAGCCTTTAAGATGAGCAGGACCTTGCAGGACAGCTGGCCAAGCTCTTCTGTCTGCACACAGAAGACCGCGGCCTGCGGCGCAGTCCTTAGTGGGCCGAGCTCGCCCAGGCCCAGGCCTTGCCCTCCCTGGCTCCTCCCACGCAGCCTCGTGCAGGCGGCCAGAGCCGACAGCCCAGAGGGCACCACTGAGAGGCTGTGTGAGGCCAGGACAGGGGTTTGGGGTTCTTCGCCCCGACCCCAGCTTTCCTCAGCTCTGAGGCCCTCCTCAGCCTCACAGGACGGAGGTGCGCGGCCTGCTTCCCAGGCCCAGCCCACCCGGCACCACTTTCTGGGCTTTGGAAAGGTCAGCAGGCCCTTGCCGTTGGTACAGGACGTGAGGCAAGCCCACCCTGCCCAAACAGAGCATCCTGCCAAAGGGTCAGCCCAGGGCCTGACGCCGAAACCCAGGGCAAACGCCTTCCCTCAGGCACAAGTCCGTGGGGGGAAGGCTCCCTCTCGGGGGACGAGTCCCCGCACACGTCCTGGGCTGAAGCCTCCCTGTCGTGTTATGAAACACAAAAATATGGCACAGGGAATGGATCACCCAGAGCAGGATGAGAAGGAAAGAAAGGGGTCTTCCTTCCAGCCTGGGTGCCTGTCCAGTCCCTCCCTGAGGTTGGGCCAGCCTGGCCCTGCCAGGGCTTATGTCCCACGGAGGACACACCCACCTGGTGAAGAGAGAGGTCAGGTCACCCTGCTGGACCTGTCCAGGGACACCTCGAGCTCACCAGTCATCGTCTGCCCCGTAGTCTCTGAGAGGCTGGCCCAGTGTTGCCGGCCCGGGCTCCAGTGCTGCACAGGGAAGGCAGCCCCAGGCCGCGGGGTCTGGGCTCCAGATCCCACTCTGTGTAACCACAGACAACTCACTTCCTGGGCCTCAGTTTCCTCATCTGCAAAATGCAGGCGTTGGATCAGACACTTTGGAGAGGTGCCTTCAGCTCTGACAAGCTACAGATCTGCAGCCTCAGAGCGTGCTGAGAAGGGTGGGCAATCCAGGGGCTCCAGTGGGGCAGGCTGTAGGGGCTTCAGAGCCACCATTCTCCTCCCCCTGGGGGCCCAGCTCAGGCCCCTGCTTCCCAGGCATGAAAGGACCATGATCACGGCCCACGCCCGCGTGTGCGTGGGGAAGGGCATGGGGAGGGCACACACAAGGGCACAGGCAACCGAGCAGCCCCTGGGGCTCAGAAAAGGCCCTGCAGGCAGCCCTGGTGCTGGGGTCTGAAGCCCCCGTGTCCTCTCCTGCCACGTGGGTGGTCACGCCTGTGGGCTCCACACCTGGGTGGCCTGAATTGAATCCAGCGTCCGCCACCTTCCAGCTGGGACCTGATCTTAACCTTGCGGGGCCCTCCGTGCCCTCATCTGCCCAAGGGGAACAACAGCAACCATACTTTTTTAGGCTGCTTGTGAGGATGGAGGGAGAAGCAGGTCTGGCGAAGTGAGCTGCCGTGAGCACTGCGGTTGGAGCGCTGGCTGCCCCTGCTGCGTCGTCACCTGACGTGTGCACCTGCTAGACGCAAGCATCAGTGTCACACCAGGGCAGGCCACGTGGCCCCACATGTGACCTGCGTTCAAGCCAGCACACTACGGTGACACAGTTTCTCTGCCTTAGTTTCCCCAGTTGCAAAATGGGATGATACTAATCCTAGGCACCTGTTAAGTGTGTGACTTAGAAGGAATTATGCATTGAAGCTACCTTGTGAGGAACCAATCATGGGATTAGCTGCTATTACCGTTGACTCCCTTCCCGCAGAGGGAGCCCCATCCCCCGCCCCAGAGGTCACTCTGCTATTTCATGTAAAAAGGGCACTGGTCTCAGTCTCCATGTTACTAGTCGGCCCTTCTCGCACTACTCCACCCTGTGTCCAGCAGGGGAAACACCCCTCCCGGAGGACCTAGGCCCTTCCCCACTCCGGCCTCTGCCAGCGCAGGCTGGAGATGCTGCAGCTAAACCTGGGTGCTGGGTGGGCTGCACTGCTGGGCTTCTCTCCACGCCTCTTCCCCACACCCAGCCTGGGCCATCTGGGGACAGTGGGCTCCTCCTTTGTTACTCTTGTGTCTCTCGGCCTGGCACCAGAATGGGGCCACATGGCATTCATCTGGAAGGCCCACAAGTCCACACACCAGGGAAGGAAGGAGAGGTTAGGGACGAGGAGGGAAGAGGGTATGGACTAGGCCCACCCATCACTCCTGGAAGCCAGTTTCCTGCCCCACCCACTACTTCCCAGGTAGGGCCAGGCCGGGGGGAGGGTTACTTTCATGTCCGTGTCTGTCTTGTAGCCCTTTGCCCCCAGCCCTACCTCTCTGTGTCCTCAGCTTCAGGCTGGCCCCCTGCCCACAGGGCTGGCTCCAGCCCACCTGGCACCGCCTGCCTCGCCTGTTAGGCCTTGCTAACAGGAGCTCAGGAGACTTGCTCAGGAAAGGCACGAATGCTCACACCCTAGGGCCCTTGCTCCTGCAGTCACCCCATCACCCCACACCCCCCTGCCCAGTTTAGGGGCCCGGAGTCTCCACCCAGTGTGCAGCGGCTCATCCTGGCCTTCTATGAAGGGCTCCCCTCTGGCTTCAGGCGACGCGCTGGATGCAGGGTCTGGAACAAACAGCATTATGCAGCTCCCCACCTTCCCCATCTCCCCTATTCAATCCAAGTGACAGCAGGCCCACAGGATCCCCATGCAGTTATAAAAGAGGGAAGCACAGCGATGATTAAAAAAAAAAAAAGACCCAGCAGGTGGGGGAGGTGAGTGGGACCCAAGAGAACAGAGAAGCCTGGTTGCCAGGCAGTGGCTGCTCAAGGCCTTGCGGCTGTTTGCATATCAATGAGCATGCCATAGTTAGCCCTGGGCCAGCACTGCCCACTGCAATCCCACCTCTGAGGGCTCAGTCTGACTCTCCACTGCCCAACAGGGGTCCTGGGGTCTTTGGAAAGAGTAGAGTGGCCACCAATGCCCACACTGGACAACCACACCAAGGGTACACTCTGTCCCCAGCCTCCCAAGCTGCTGCTGGAAAACCAGAGAGATGGACGCCGGGTCCCTTAGTGATGAGGCGAGGGGGTGTGCACAGCCCTGGAGCAGCACGCGAGCAGGCAGAGCTCAAAGGGGAGCCAGGGGCCCCACAGGCACTGGGACAGTCCAGAAAGCTCCTAGAGGCAGTCAGTGGGCAGAGGGCCGTGGACACCCCCAGACAGGACAGATGAGGGTAGGTGGGCCCCACGTGCAGAGGCTGTGCCCCACGCTCATTCCTGTGCGCAGGACGCAGCACACCGCACACATGCCTGGCCCCTGGTCCACGTCTGCACTCATGGGGGCTGGGTCTTGGTAGCCCCTAGGGAGTCACCATCACAGTCACGTGGGGCAGCCTGGAGACCCAGAGTCTGCAGTCTGGCAGCACATTAGTGCCCACCAAACTGGAGGGAGGCCTTGGAGTTGGTGGCCTCCAAAACACATGACCCACCATTAATAACTCACTTCCCTCCCAGAGCTGCTTTGCATGCCAATGAAGGCTCTGAGGCAGGAGCTGGGCACAGCGCCCAGTGGGCCTCCAGAGCCACGTCCAGTGAAGGGAAGAGAGTGAGGGTGGGTGGCGCTGGGAGGGCAGGATTCCAGATGATGGAATACTCCGCCTCTTGTCCCATGTGAACAGTGCCTTCAAGGCCACCAAGTCCAAAGGCTCCATTTGCATATGAGAAAAGTGACGATTGAGATTTATACAAAAGGAATGAAGCAAGAGAAAAGAGGAAGGAGAAAGGAGAGATGAGATCCGAAAGGAATGAGGGAAGAAAACAGGAGGGTGCAGACTGCCCCCACACACCCCTGGCCGCCCGCTGCTTCTCACCCCTGCAGGCTTGCCCCGCAGCCCTCCCTGTTCCCTGCAGCCATCCCATGCCGGGCCAAGGCCGAAGCTGAGCCAGCAGACCAGACCCTCCTCCCTGAGACACCACCTGGGTCTGGGTACCCCAGCTCATGGGCCTCCCTGGGGAGCGTGCGGCGCTTGCCTTCTCTTGGCTCTTGCCTTGTTTAATGAACCCATCTCCCTTTTCCTCTCATTAGGTGGAACAAACAACTTGAACCAGAATTTTTATTTCCCAGAAAAGCACACACCCAGACCCAATAAATCATCATTCAGAGGTGGAGAAGCACGCTGGGGCAGGCAGGGACCTAATTAGAGCTGGGCCTGCTCCCCCCACTGGCACCCACAGGGCCCACTCCCCTCCAAAGCTTATGTAAATATCCCTTGTTAGCACCACGGAAAAGTAAAGGAGACAAGCCCCTTCCCCATCTCCCTTCCTCTGATCCAGGTCTTATTTTCTTTCAGGAAATTGTTCTATTACTGCCAGACTATTTGTAGTGGTGAGTCTGCTGAAGAGCCCCAGGCCACCTGGTACTGTGGTGCCGCCCAGCTCCCTCCTGCCCTGGCTCTGGCTTGGGGCTCAACTACGATTACGCCCCACCCCGCCTTCTGCCAGCCTCTGGTCTGGCGCACTGGCCCCAAAGCGGATCTGAGGCTCTGACCCTTTGGCTTGCTGAGTCTGGGCACATCACTCTCCTCTGGCCCCTCTGGGAGGACCCCTCTGCCCAGGGCCAGGGCCACTGCCCCGCTCTGTGGCTGCCTCTAAAATTTTAAGCTGTGCCTAAAGCAGGGTGTGCCCTCTCGTTGGAGGCTCAGGCCCTGTCCCGACCCACGGGACCTTCTGTTACTCGCGGGGGCGAGGGGGACCGTGCCTGAAAGAGATGAGCGAGAGAAAGAAACGAGACCAAGCGAATGATTGTCAAGGTCTGCTTTACTTAGATTCTTAGTAGGTTTTATAAGCATACAAGAACAAAGAAGTAGAGGCAAAAAAAATAGAGTGTTGACGATGAGGCTTGGGTCTGGGTTAATCAGCCCCAATCAGCGTCTTATCGGTATCCTGTTTTTGACTGGTTACTCATCTCCAACCTGGCAGGTGGTCGGGAACAATTGCAGTCAGCATACCCTGGAGCATCCCATGGTCAGCACGTCATGGAATGCATTCTTCTCGGAGCTATAGCTGGAATTTTCCAGGGCGAAGTCCGTGTGTAGGACGAGTCATAGGGGAGTTGAGGGTCTTTGAGGGTCCTTGCCTCTAACAAGGCCCTGTTCTCCCAAGGCCACAAGGCTTGCCCCACATTGGACTGAGGACGTAGAAAGCAGGGTTCCAGCAGCCTACATGTTACTGCTAACAAGCTCAGTGACTTGGAGGCTCCGTAATCACCCCAACTCTTCCCACCCGTAGTGCCAATGTAGTAATACCCACCCTCCAGCAGCTCCAGGGGCTGTGGCAGAGGGTAGTGGCTCAGGGCTCACCCATTCTTAAGTGCAAATCCTATCTCCACCAGCAAGTTCCCAACTCACTTTGAACTCAGTTTTCTCTTTTGTTGAGTAGAGATAATGTTCCCTCCCTTCTAGGGCCCTTGTGAGAATTAGGGAAGATGCCATCGTTGCTGCATGGAGGTTTGGAGGGACTGCAGTCTGTTTGTCTGTCCCTGGGCAAAATAGGACTACATCCGCACCTCCCTGGAAGGAGTGAAGTCCCTTCCTGGGACCAGGAGTCTTTGAGTGCCACACAGACTCCAGTCCCCACCCGCCCCAGGACAGCTCCTGCAGCGTGCCCCGCCTCAGTGGGCCCCAGTGATTGTGGGGGGTAGCTGGGAAGGGGCACGGGGAGGGAAGAGGGGACTAGCTACAGAATGACACTGTCAACCGAAAAAAGCCAAACTCTGCAAAGTAATTTTAAAGAGATTTATTCTGAGCCAAATTTGAGGACCATGACCCGGAGTGGACTCGCTGTGGCTGGGTTACAGTTTGGTTTTTATACATTTTAGAGACAAGGGTTCCAGGTAAAACCATCAATCAATATGTGGGAGGCATACATTGGTTTGGCCCAAAAAGGAGGGCCATCTAGAAGGGGGAGGGCTTACAGGTTATAGGTGGGTTTAAAGATTCTTTACATTGTAATTGGCTAAAGACATGAAGCTTTGTCTAAAGACTTGGAATGTTTTAACATAAACTGTTTACCAGAGATAAGCCACCATTTGTTGCATAAATTGAGGGCCTGCAGGTGTGTCTTGCATACCCTTAGGCCTGTCAATGCGTTACAAAGGAAGTCTCCAAGAAGGGAGGGGGGCATGATAAGGCATGTCTGACCTCCCTCCTCCTGGCAGGCAACTTTGCCCTAGAATATTCCTTTGGCCAGGAGGGGGTCCATTCAGTCAGCCAGTGGGGGGGGGGTGAGCATTTTAGTTCACAACACCGTGGCCCAGGGAAGACCGGAGACCAGTGGCTCTAGGACCTGTGAGGACTTGTGTTGGTTTCTTGAGGCTGCCATAACGAAGGACCACAACTTCATGCTTAAAATAACAGAAATTCATGTTCTCCATGCTCATGGCTGTGGGGCCAAGTCTGAAACAAAGCTATCAGCAGGGCCTGGCTCCCTCCAAAGGCTCCAGGGGAGATCCTTCCTGCCTCTTCCAGCTCCTGGCATTCCTTGGCTAGGGGCAGCATCACTGCTGTCTCTGCCTCCTTCCTAACAGGGCCTTCTCCCCTGCACCCGGCTGAGTCTTCTCCTCTTCTTAAAAGGACACCAGTCATTGGATTTAAAGTCACCACTACAAATCCATGATGGTCTCATCTAGAGATTTTAGTTAATTACTACCTACCTAACTAGTCTGCAAAGACCCTACTCCCAAGGAAGGCCATATTCTGGGGTTCCGGGTAGACAAGAATTTGGGGGGACACTATTCACCCCACTGCAGGACCCTTGTACTAATTTCACCACCAACTAGAAGTGTGAGTCAGGTCAAGCTCCATAGCCTCTCTCCATCTCACCTGTCCCCTCACCTGGCCAGTGGAAAGTAATGGCATCTGTGCTGCCTGTGGCTCTAACAAGGTCAGGACACAGCATGCTTTGAACAGTTGAAAGGATTTCTATAGGAAAATAACCACAAGGTTAGCGTGCATTGATTATGCCACATCCCACCCACCGTGCCCTGACCCCCATGCCCAAAGCTGCACCCCTGCGGACTGCACTGCTCCTGCCTGTTGCAAACCATCTCCTTGCTTCTGCAGACCCCAAGGCTCTCCCAGACAGCAGAGGCAGAGCAGGTGTGAGGTCGTTGCTACGGAGGACCTCCTGAAGCTCTGTCTCCCTTAAGCCCGGCAGGGTTCCCTGTGCATTGGCATGCAAGCCCAGGCTGACTCCACCACGGTGGGGCTTTTCAGTGCCTTTCCCTCCACAGCCGAGCATCTGCCAGCGGCAAGCCAGGGCTGCCCCCAGGGCTGGCTCCTGCAACTCCTGAGCAGACTCCCTTCCTCCATCCATGACTCTACCTTCTTGTCTCTGAGCTTGTCCTCTGCGACCCATGCAGCCATCACAGCCAAGTGACAAGGAGCTTTCTCTCCCCCCCCCCCCAGACACTGCTCCGGGATGGCAAGCGAGAGAGCATCGTCAGCACCCTCTTCCTTTCCCCCGGCGACGTGGAGAATGGGCAAAGCATCGTATGCCGGGCGACCAACAAAGCCATCCCTGGAGGGAAGGAGACCTCAGTCACCATCGACATCCAGCGTGAGTACTGGCGGCCCCGCCTGGCTCAGCCAGGCCCAGGGGGGGAGACACCCAGCCCTCCCTGTAGCTCTGGCCGCCTGAAGGCAGGAGACGGGTCAGCTCTGTGACTGGCTGGTTTTCAAGTACGAGCAGGAAGGGCCCTCTGTGTTTCTTACCGTCCCAGGAAGCAACCTCACAGATGAAGGTCCTCAGTAAAGGACATCTATCAGCCACATTTGACACCTGAACAAGATGGAAATTCTATATTAATAACTATGGTCAGCTGATGCCCCGCTGGGCTGGCCAGGTGGCCCCACCCTTGCTAGAGAGAAGCCAGGGTAGAGATGCTGGGGACGGAAGAGCTCTGGGGCTCCGGACAGGCACGCAGCACCGTGCCCTGCAGAGGGGTACTGGCCACCCTCACGGAGGGTCAGTCAGGGGGATGAGAGGAAGAGAAAGAAGGGCCAGTATTTAGCTCAAATTTATATGCATTATGGAATTTAATCTTTACAACTGCTTGGAGGAGGCATCAGGGGAAACTGAGGCACCCGAATGTTGATTCAGTTACCCATGCAGGTTTCAAATTTGGGCAGCTTTGCAGAGCCTGACCCGATAACACTCCTATACACCCAACAAGGGCAGGCCTCAGTGGATTCAGTTGACTCAGTTGTTACGGTTCACATATTAACAGTAGCGGTGCTTTAAAGCTCTGCCAGCATCACATCCCAAAAGCCTCATAAAGAGACTCCTAAAAGACTCCTAAAAGCGTCCCTAAGAACCCTTCTCGGCCCCAGAGAACCAAGGAGAGCTCAGCAAGGTGGCTCCAGTGGCCTTACCCCAGTACCGGATTCATTGAGATTTGAGGTGTCGCGCTCAGGCGGCCTTCCTATGCAGATAGAGCACACAGCCCACACGCTGGTGGCCGCTGTGGCCCCAAGCTCTGCATTGCAAGGCTGGCGTGCAGGCTGGCGGTCGGCCCTCGCTAGCATATTCATGACAGCCCTGGCCCATCTAAGGCTTCTGGATTCTGACTCCAC